TTTTTACTGTTACTTCTCTTTTAGCACCCAAGCGCTGCAGCAGTTCACATAAGACCCCGTGAACTGCCTTCCAGCCCTGACTCTTCCTTCCTTCTGGTAGGCAGACCATCTGCTTTCTTCCCTTGCCAAAAAATTCTGTCAAAGAAATAAAATAACCTTTAAGGTTTCTCTTACATTCTACAAGAAACCTTCTTGAACCCTTCGATTACCCCCAAACCTTCTAACAGCACCATCTCTCTCTTTGCTTCCCTGATTTTCAAGCTCAGCTGACCATTTAATCTCAGCTCCTCAAATAGCAGCTCCTTCGTTTCAATCTTCAAAGCTTTTCTCCAACGGCCTACCTCCACAAACTCTCCCATCTCCAACAGCTTCATCTTCGGAGAGCTGGTATTTTCCACTGCATCTATTCTACCAATTAGATGCCTCTCACTGCGACCAAGGTACCACTCGAGCATAAAAAAAAAGAATAAAATGTAAATCCCCCCTTTTTTATTTTAATGAAAGTCTGCATTTCTCAAAAATATTCCTGGATAGTCGTCATCATAGTGAGAATAACAAATTGTACTTTGTTATATGAAAAATTAAAGGGTGTTATAATTGGTGATCTAGGCAACCAAGGTGCATTAGGCATAGGAGTGGTGAGAGATAATAGGGGCCAGTGATGTATGCCAATCTGCTGGCTTTCACTCAAGGTCTAACATTTGCTTCCATGAATATCTGGACAGACCTGATTGTTTAAGGTGGCTGCCTAGTAAGCTTTTCTTTGGCTTAGGTTAGAGGAAGAGACAACTTGGATATATAGGTTTTGTAGTCTGGAAAAGCAAGAAAAATCAGTAGCAGCATGAACTGCTCCCTCAGGTGGGTCTGAAGAGCTGCTAATTGCTTGGTTGATTCTTTAGCAATAATAGGGGTTGCACAGGAGAATCTTTGTGGGGAATTTCTGGGCTGGGGAATGAATTGTAAATATGGTAATTATAAATTCAAGTTGGTATGACACTTGTAAAAAAAGCAAGTTGGTATGGTCAGCCTTGGGCTGTTTTGTAATAATAACTTGCTATCAGAATTTTTTGTAGTAAGGAAATTCTCTTTTCTGCAATAAAGTTCAATTTTTTTCATTGACTATCCAAAAGGAAAAGGAAAAACTTTACAACTATAAAAGTTCAGGTTTATGGACATGGGTGATATCATTTCCTGCCATTCCCTTGCCATATCTGGGTAATATAACTTTCTAGCTTTATAGTGATCCTTCCCAACCTATTTGTTTCCTTATTTATTTCATCATTTTGGTCATTTAGATTAATTTGCTTACAATGACCTGTTGTTGCAATTTCAGAAACCTAGACAATAGCCCTCGCTTTCTCTTGGATATTCACAGAAACCTCATTCTTGATCTAGGGAAGTTTTTCAGTCATTTACCTGCTGGTCTGGCATCATCTAAAGTTGACAAAATATCAGCACTGAATGATGAAGTATCTGCATCTTCAAAGTTGGGGTGGACAAGAAACTACTCCATCATCAAGGAAAAAATATTAGCAACAATTGTTCTAGTATTTTAGCAACAATTGCAAGTTGTATCATACACCACATGATCTTTTCTTTACTAGCATCAATCCTAGGCCAAGAAGAAAATAATCTCATGTGGAAATTGTGGCCTGAAATGAGGATGCCTAAGTTGTACTACAAAAATCAGCCAACTTCTTGGTAGACAGTTTAGTGGGGGGGGGATCTTTTATGTTTGGGTGTCTCACATCTTGGGCTGATATTTCTTTCTGTTCATGTGTTGATGCTGCTTCATCTGTTTCTGAATTGTGTTTATATCCCATAGGTTGAGGATGAAGGGGTTGTATTACACTTCTCAGTCCAGATAAAATTACTCATTTTTATCCAGTTGCTGATTAAAAAATCTCATTCTTTCTCTTTCGTCATGAGCTGATAACTTTTACCAGTAACTATCACCACTGCATCATTGGAATTTGGAAGTTTGTGGCCATTGATCCACATCCACATTATGGATTGCTTTTGTGAGGAATAGAAAACAAATAAATACTTGATGCCATTATAGAAGGGGAAAAATGCAATTTGGTCTACCAAGAACTAGTAAAATATGTTACTTCAGGTTCAGGTAGGATTAATTTAGAATATAATTTATGCTTGAATTGAGGGTTTCTTTTCCCCTTGTAATTCAAGCCTCCAGGTGAAATTTTGGAGAAGGGGGAAATAGCTAGGATTCAGTAGCACTAGCACCCCAGCACTGACTAAAATAATCTAACCATGCTACTAGCCCACTGCACAGTTTTTTGTAATTGTAAGTAAGAGGTTATGAGGTTGATTCTCCTTATTATTGATAAAAAATGCTACTAGCCCACTGACTCTAATTGTTTTTCAAGAGAAAGAAGACATATATTTATTAATTTCAGATGGCAACTTGTGTTTCTTTTCATTTGTCACTGGTCTTAGTGATGTGATATTCTGGCATGGTTATAACATTAAGTGGGCTTTATTTAGGATGACACCATTGTTATATGCTGCACAAAAACTTATATGTTATAAGCAGTGTAATTAAAATTGTTGCCTGGGCAATCACATGGGTGTTTTGGAGGTCCATTGTCTAGGTGACCGACTGGGCCTGTGGTATATATTCATAGATATATACATCCTAGTGGGGGCAGGTAACCAGTTATGCCCGCCCCCCCCCCCCCCCCCCCCTTTCTTTTTTTGAGAAAAGGTAAAGTATTTCATTAAATAAAAAAAGTTACAGAAGGCCTCAAGGCCTGCAAAGTAAGGCACTGAGCAGGAAAACAAAGCAAAACTTTGTACATCCCAAAAAGCTTTTAGAACTGTGTCTTCTGGTTTGTATTTGCCTTCAAAAAGCCTCCTGTTCCTCTCTGTCCAAACTGTCCACAGAACTACTGGTGGAATTACTCCCCAGATGACTTTTCCTTTTTTAGATAAACCAGCTAGGGATGCTACCCATGTGAAAAAGGCAACTTTGGGAGGAGCTGCTGTTTTCCAAACCTTATTTGTAGGAAAGCTAACCTCCTCTTCAGAGCAAAGTTTGTTGTAGAAAGATTTTACTGAGAATGAGCCTGAGTTCTCCCATGAATTATTGATACGAGTGTAAATAATCCATTTACAGTTGACTGGAGTGCATGTGGAGCTATGAATTTGGATTTTTGGACCTTTTGTTATCAATTTATTGATTCTCTTTCCATTTGTAATTTGCTGCAATTCTGTAGCACATCACAAGACGTTTGGAAGAAGAGAGAACTTCTACTGATCCTTCAGTACGTGGGCAAATTCAGGCAGAATCAGTGCAAGTAGGATTAGCAATGCAACATTTAGGTGCTCTTCTTTTGGAGCTTGGTCGCACTATTCTGACACTACGCATGGGGCAGACACCTGTATGTACTCTAGTTATCTTTTGTCTTTTTTTCTAATTATAATTTACCTTGATCTATGACTGCCTTGTGCAAATTTCAGGCTGAATCTGTGGTGAATGCTGGGCCTGCAGTTTATATATCTCCTTCAGGGCCTAATCCTATAATGGTTCAGGTAAGTTATTGGCTTTTAAAGTTAAATGTGTCATCTTCTACATAGTCTTTTAATACCTATAAATGGCATATAATGTGTAGTACATGCAAAGGAAATTTATAACCACCATTGAATGGGTTCCATCCAGTGTTATTGGCTGCAATTACCAGTTCTGGTGCAGATTGATTGCAACTATTTATCATAGCTAGGATTCTCCTTTTTTAATAAATCAAGTAGATGTTCTAGTTCTTTTAATAAATTAAGTTAGGACCATCCATCTGCACTATTTAGCTCATTTTATCATGGGAAATTACCCAACGCTGGTCCTGGTTGTTTGGGGTCTTGGGAGGGGTGAATTGGATGTGGACCTAACCTTTGGCATTTGATAGCACTAAGTATTCAGTTAGTAGGAGCAAAGCATTGTATTAAATTATAAGAGGGGAAAAAGCCTATATACAAAAAACTGGTCATTGAGAAAGAAAACAATAAGCTGTACAAAAGAGAGTATGCACCAAAAGTGGGTCATAGCTATTTAATTTATTAAACAAAAGAGGAGTCTGAAATGGAACCAAGAATAGAGTATTGTATTTCTTATTCATCACTTTTTTCAATTGGAATGATTCTGTTCTCTAAAGATTGGATATTATCTCAATCTTCCAATAAAGCAAATGGAAAGAGATTCTGGAGAATATATTCTCTATGAATCGTCATCATCATCTAAGCCTTTTTAAGCAAGGCGCAAGGTGAGGTGCAAGCCTTTTTAAGCAAGGCGCAAAAAATAAAAAAATGTCAAAAAATAAAAAATGCCAAAAAAATTAAAAAAAAGCCAAAAAATCTAAAAATTATTAAGCATAATATTAATAAAAATATAAACTTAAATTTTAAAATAAATGTTTTAAAAAACCTATTATCTAAAATTAAAATACATAAACATAACATGTAAAGCATATTCAACTGAGAATTTAAAAATAAAATCAAATACACAACATTTTCAAGCATATAAAACCCCCAATCTCTTTTTTCTCAATTGCATTACTTCAAGTGGCTAATGTGATGTAAAACATATTACATTCCTGATTATACGAGCCACCTTTGTGCCACGGCCTTCGAGGCAAAGCCCAAACAAGTCCATGTTAGGTCTTAAATTCTTAGTTCTCACACAAAAAATAATGATTTTATAGTTTTAATTGCTTTTTAAGAAGATATTTTATTAGGATGAATGAATCAACAATGTTACCAAATAGGGGGTTCTTGAATAAAATATCTTCTTAAAAAGCAATTAAAACTATAAAATCATTATTTTTTGTGCGAGAACTAGAATTTAAGACCTAACGTGGACTTGTTTGGGCTTGCCTCGAGGGGCGTGGCATGGGGGTCTGGGGGTGGAGCCCCGGCCCAACCACTAGACACAAAAAAGCAAAAAAGCGTCAAATTTTCAAAAGGCGCAAGGTGCACCAGGCGTGCGCTTGTTGAAAGGGCTGTGCCTAGGACCTGGGTGAGACACCTACCCTAAAATGTGCCTCACCTGTGCGCCTAGGCGTGCCTTTTAAATCACTGATGAATCCTGTTTCATCATTCCATTCTGTTCCGTGCCATATGCATTGTTAATTATTATCTTATACATACTTCTGATCAAGTTAATTGGCCGAAAACCATTCATTTCTGCAGCTCCACTTTTCTTGCAAATCAAAAATATGAAGGTTGCATTGAGACTTCTTTCCAATGCTGCTGAATTGTGGAATTCCTCTAACACTTTGAGGAGATCATGTTTGATCTTCTGATTCTTCTCCCAATATTTCTTGTAAAACATAATGATGAAGCTATCAGGTCCAGGGGCTTTCTCCCCTTCCATTTCTTCAACTGCCCTTTGATCTCCTCTTCCGAGAAAGTTTTTCCTAATTCATCCACTCTCTGCTCCGACAGCATTTCAAATTGTAATCCATCTAATTTTGGCCAGAATTTACATGGTTCTTTGTACAGTTGCTTGCAGAAACTAACAATAGCCTTCTCTATCTCCCCTTCCTCCTTGGTTAACTGTTTGTGATATTCCAGCTTCTTAATGGAGTTGGATCTTCTTCTTGCGTTGGTTGCTTTGTGGAAGAAGGCAGTGCCATTATCTCCTGCTTTTAAGCACTTGACTCTGGACGTCTGTTTCCATTTCACCTCATCTTGGTAGGCTAAAGAATCATACTTCTTGGCCAAGAATCCCTTCATCCTTTTTTTCCTCTAAGGGCCTCAATTCCTCCTCAAAATTTATATCAGCAATGATTTTTAGGTATTCATCTCTTATGTTTTCATCATCTTTTGAGCTTTTCCTGCTGCCAGGTTTCTATTTTACTTTTGAGCCATTGTAGCTTCGTGCTCATTACATGGCTGGCTGAAACCTTCAAGTGAATTCTGTCCTCCAATTCTGAATATTTGTGTCAAACTTCTACAACCCCATCCAACAGTTTTCCAGCCTAAATGGATGGTCCTGCCTCTTAATGCCGTTTGTGTCCAATTGCAAAGGGACATTGTCTGGCAGTGGTCTTGGGAGAGCTTCTTGAGAGGAACTGGGAAACAAGACTTCTCATTCAGTAGTTATTATAAATCTATCCAACCTAACAAAAGAGGGAGATTCTTGATTATTGGTTTGCGTGTAAGTAGCACCAGCCAGAGGAAGGTCATGCATCACCCATTTTTGCATAAAATTTGACAACAATTGCATACCTTTGTTGCTTCTGCTACACCCTTGTTTGTCTTCCAGATTGAGAGTAAATAAAAATCTCCACAATGGACTCCGAGAGTATAATAGGGACTTTATTTGGGATCCATAATAGCTTCACAGAAGTAGAGAATCTTCCAACTTCTTGGTCCAGAAGCTTAAAAATGCTGGTGTTCCAGATAAAGGCAATCTCTCCTGTTGTATTGACTGCAGGTATTGCTAATCGGTTACAAGGTTTGAAACCCCAAACACCCCCTGAAACCGAAGTCACGTATCTTGGTTTTCTACAAAAGTAGAATATCCGCTCTTCTTTCTTTCAAGAAAGTGCCTGCTACCGTTCTCCTGCCTAAGCCCAAACCTCTAATATTCCAGGAAATTATTCGTATCTTCTCCATTGGTTATCTTTTGGAAGATCTGTTTATTAGGCTCACACTTCTGGCACTATTGTTCAGTCCCCAGGCCGGTCTTAGCAACTCTTTGGACTGCCTCCTATTCTTTTTGGGCTTTCTCCACCAAGTAATGCTTAGCTATTCTTTGGCTATAATTGGGGTGGAGAGAGCCGCTTGCTGTGCCATGCTGATACAAAGTTCTCTTGGGGGCTTGTTTTTGTTAACTTCTCTTTTTTGCATGTGCTATAAAGATTCTTTTTGCCTATTAATGAAAATTAAAATTACTCATCTGAAAAAAGAAGATAAGAAAAGAAAGGAAAAGGTAATGGCAATGTGTTGGGGGTGAGGATTAACAATTTAATCAAGTCCTTCATTCTCTGTTTTATTTTTGCAAGAGAAAAGGCTATTATAAAATGCTGGCTGTGGTCCATGGTCTTCCCTCCAGTTGATATTTTTTTTTGATCAATAACTGTGAATTGTATTAATTAAGATTAAGAAAAATTACAAAGCAAGGGGGCTAAACAATCTTAGCTCCCTAGAACAAGCATTGAACACCAAAATACAATTACAATACAGCCCAAAATAAAGAGTTTCTGTTCACCCCTTGCCTAGCTAGACCATCTGCCAGTGAGTTAGCACTTCTCTTGACCCATTTGTACTGAATTTCAATATCCTTAGTCAACCACTTAAATTTTCTCTTTTCATTGCTGTAATTCCATATCCTAGAGTTATCCTCTTTTAACCAGTTCACCACAACTTCAGAGTCTCCTTCTATGATCAGCCTACTAAATTGCATATTCTTGACTCTTTGTACCCCTTCAAGAGCTGCAAGTATCTTGGCCCTCAAGGAATCTCCCTCTCCTATTGGTCCAGAAAACATAGCTAATTGATTCCCATGTTCATCTCTTATTGCTCCCCCTATTCCGGGTGGCCCTGGATTACCCATACTGTTGCCATCGAAGTTCAGTTTAATAAAGCCATGAGGTGGAGGAATCCAACAAGAGTTTGATGCCTTCTTAGCTGAAGCTAATTCTGCAATCTCCTTTTAGTTTCTTAGCATCTCATCTACTGAGAATTCTGCAAACAATGTCAAAGTTTTCAGCCAATGTATCACCCTAATATGGATGACCTCTAGTATTACTTCCAAGCTTCTCTCCTTTTCTGAGAAGATCTGTGAGTTTCTCTCCTCCCAAATAGTCCAACAAACTGCAGCCCTCATACATCTCCACATAATCTTGGCCCTTTTTGTTGGCCAAATCGGCATGGAACTGAATAAACTTTGCACATTCAAAGGGGGGGGGGGGTCCACCTGCACTCAAACAAAGAAGTACACCATTCCTAACTGACTTTAGTAAACCGACAGGAAATTAGTAAATGGTATTCAGACTCACCATCAGTTTTACAGAGAGCACACCAGTGAGGACACAAACAACTATTGGGTCTTTTTCTTTGAAGTAAATCACCTGTATTAACTCTTTCCAGAAAGGCTTCCCAACAGAAACTCCCAACATTTGAAGGTATAGGAAGACACCACACCTCTTTAACAGGGAAGGGCAGACCCAAAGAAGAAGGTTGTTTTAGGGCTTTAAAGAAAGAAGTACATGTGAAAGAACCCGAGGTGGTAAGTGTCCAAATTCTACCGTCTGCCTTTGTTGGATCTAGGAAAACCCCTTCAAGAATGGATAACAAGGATAAAATACAATCAAACTCTGTGTCCCTGATTTCCCTTCTAAAGCCCAAGTTTCAACTGAACCCAAAAGCTGAGTAGATGGAATAAGGAAGGGGGAAACTGGTTCATTTTTAAATGTGGGAAGAGTGAAAAGACTCGGGAGTTGGTCTTTTAAGGGAGAATCCCCAATCCAGATATGTTCCCAAAAATTGGTGAGATTGCCTGAGTGCAAGTCATACTTGATCCATGGAGAGAACAATGGCAAAATAGCTTGAATAGCTTTCCAAGGTGCTGCTCTTGTAGTCCTTGCCTGAATCCCAGAATCCCATCCATTGTCTGCTACCCCATGAATACTGCCCACTATCTTCACCCAAAGTTTATCCTTCTCCAGTGAAATCTTCACAGCCATTTCCCTAGTAGTGCCAAATTCCTATTCCTTATGTTCCCAATACCCAAGCCTCCCTCCCTCTTGCTCCTACAAACCATCTTCCGCCTAACCCTATGGTCCTTCTTCTCCTCCCCCAGCTCCCAGAGAAAGTCTCTCATTTGTTTTTCTAATCTGCTAGCCACCCTAACTAGAATCTTAAAGACTGATAAAAAGTAGACAGGAAGGTTAGCTAATGTAGACCTGATTAAAGCGATTCTCCAACCAAGAGACAAATAATTATTCTTCCAAGTTGCTAGTCTCTTTTCAAACCTCTCCACAACCGGAACCCAAAACTCATCTTTCTGAGGGTTATCTCCCAATGGCAAACCGAGGTAGTTTAAGGGCCAATTAGAAACTGCACACTCCAAAATGTCTGCACACTCTGACATCTCCCCCTCCCCCATATTGACCCCAACTAATCTGGGGCAGTTTGTTGTTATTATTTTTTTGGCATGTGCATGTTTGTAGGTTGGGGATCTTGAGAAATTTAGAAAGGAAATAAAAATACAAACATATAGAGAATAGCTAAATATTTAAGGGATTCCATAAAAAGAATCTGCAATGGAGGATAGAAATTTATTGCCAGACCAACTGTCAAGTAAAATTGGTGCAAACATTAACCCAATTCAATGCTTGGGTTCAACTGTCATTGACTCTGACCTGACATCTGATCAGGATTAGCATGAATAGCAGAACATGCTACTTACATATGCTGCACTGCTCATGGTATCAGGTCCACTTGCTGAAATTAATATTGTCATGTTATCATGGTGCTTGGTCTATACATTCATCTTAAAAAAGTTGATGTGCACTTTTGTTGACTGAACAAGGTTTAACATCTTTTTGCAGCCATTTCCTCTTCAAACCAGCTCCCTCTTTTCTGGTGCCTCTGCTACTTCTCGTGCAAATCCTGGTAATATGGGTCCTTTTGGTCTTGGAGATGTTCCTAGAAACATAAACATCCATATACATGCTGGTGAGAAGCTTACATACTCCAAGTAATTTTCCTTTTTTTTGAGTCACCTTATCTGAGACTTTATCCAATAATCAGGTACCTCGCTTGCTTCCGGTGCGCTGTCTGTTGGTTCCAGGGCAAATGCTGGGGAAAGCACTCATGATGGAAGTGGTTCAGGTGATTCAGGGCCAGCCAGGGTAGTGCCTGTGAGAAATGTTATTGCTGCAGCTGTTCCACGGTCCTCTGCGGAAACAGCCAATGTTCTAAGTGTTATCTACCCTTTTCATGGAAGATCTCAGCAGATAAACCCTAACCATTCGGCTCCTATACAGGGTTCCAGTACATCATCTCCCAACTCAAGACAATCTGATGCAAGTGGAGAAAATCAGGATCCATCAGGTAACTCGTAATCAGATACATCTATAATGGACCCATTGTGTGGCAGTGATTGATTTATCTCTTCTTCTATGTAACTAGGTCAATCATCAACTCCAATCATCCATGATTCATCTGTTGGATCTGGTGTGGACAGTAATCTAGAGAATCATCAGCCTGAAAGCATGGCCATTAAAGGAGCTGGAGGGACTGCTCTATCTGGACCTAAGCAGAATTCTGCAGGGGAAGGAATACAGGCATGTAACAGTCTTCATGTTATATTTTTCTTTAGCAGGGTTGGCTCTTGGAAGAGTGGTGATTTAGGCTAATAGGCGCATCTCATTTTTGATAAAGGAGACACAACTACACCATAGTTATTAGTCAAAAGGTGTTTTTTCCTAAAGAGAAAATATCCGCCCCCCCCCAAAAAAAAAAAAAAAAAGTTTGGATTCCTCTCACATCCACCTCACAGCCCTTGCAGCCACACATAGGGAGCATCTCTGTGCTTGCATGTTTTTATTCATGAGGAGATGTTCCCAATGCATGGCTGCAAGTGCTGTGAAATTGGTTTCAAAACTCAGATTTAAATATTTCTCTCCATGTTGTACATTTTATCTCTTCCCCCACCTCACCCCCATCCCCCCAAAAAATTATGTTATCTGGAGATTCAACTGAAAATTATTGATTGGCAGACCCACCACAAGCATCGACAATTTAATAATAATGAGGATACAATTGATAATTCGAGTTCAAGGGAAGCTTCTTCAAGTAATTCAGGGGATGGCTCTGCAGTTGCATCAGAGAATGTTCCAAGATCCAGCCAGAGCTATGATCCTCCTGAGGGTTCCAATGCTGTTCCTTTGGGATTAGGCTTGGGAGGTCTGCAACCAAAGGTGAGATGTCTTTCTTCAACTATATATCTATTGAAAGGTAGAAAGATTCCTACATCTTTCCACATAATACCTCTCAACATTGTGCACAATGTATCAGCAAATGTTTTTGAGAAAATTTAACCAGGATTCATTAAAGTAAGAAGAGGTACATGAGATGTACAAAGCAGGGGAAGAACCTCTACAAATTACAAAGGTGGAAGCTTTTCGCTATACAAATTCTCCAAATAAACACCACATTTGGCTAAGCCATCTGCTGTATGATTGTGTTTCCTAGGAATCCAAACTAATTTTACATTTAAACAGTCCAAAGAGTCCCTAGCCAATGCCAAATAGTGACTCAATCTCCAAGGTCCCCCTCTTGGTCTCTTAACCATTTTATAGTATTTTGTTGAATCACCTGCAATGATTAAATTCTGGATTCCCATTTTTTTTATTATTCTGATTCCTGTGAGAGCAGCCATCACTTCAGCCTTTGTGGAATCAGCCAAACCAATTGGACCACTGAAAGTCGAACAAATGTTGCCCCTTTCATCCCTTACTATGCCTCCAATACCAGCTAAGCCAGGGTTACCTAAGGCACTTCCATCGAAGTTCAGGGTCACCACTCCTTCACTGATGGGGTCGGGATGTCTCAAGGATGTTTGATGGAGTTGAGGGAGAAACAGAAAGGGGTAAGTATCTCTATTGAGATCATTGATTGATAATCCTTTGAACAGATCTGAGTTCACCGTCCAGAGGTTGCAAAGGTAAGTAATGTCTGAAATCAATTCCTCTAGGGGCCTGAATTTGTTGTTGAAGAGGCGTTTGTTTCTTTCATCCCAAACTCCCCACAACACTGCATGTAGCACTGATTGCCAATTAAGTTTACCCCTTTTACTTAAACCTGTTCTTTGCCATTGATGCAGAAAGTCCATAATGTGCTCTGCTATAACCCAGCTATAACCTGCCATTTTCAAGAAATGGAACCAAATCTTTTGGGTGAACTTGCAGTGAAGAAAAATGTGGTCTGCTGATTCACCTTCACTGAAGCATAAAAAATGTATTAGCAAATTTTGGTGCTGGATTTTTCAATCCAGTCTATTATGTACCCTTTGCATGGAAGCTATGTCCTTGGGTTATTACAGTCATTCATTGTATTCCCTTGCAATCTTTAACCTAGATTTTGCCTACTTGTTTTGAGCTAGTATTAGTTCTGGTTAATTAGTGCTTCAGCCAATTACCCTGACTTTTTCTTTCTTTCTCTCTTTCTTTCGTTTCTTTTCTTTTTTTTTTTTGATTGGTGCTAATTTCCTTGACATTAGACTATGGAGGCATATGCACTGTAACTATGAAAGGGGCATGCTCCTGAGAATGATGGGTATTTGAAAATATGCATGGTGTTTCTCATGTTGGAATTCTTTCTTTTTTGCTTCTTTTTTTTTCCAAGTATTGCACTTGAACTTACCATGGTTCTTAATCAAATAATTATCGATGTTCAAACTCTTGATATGCCCAGAGACGAAGCAGGCAGATGAGACCACAGGGGAGGGACAACAGTGGAATATCTCATGCAATTCCTGTCAATGAGAACCAGAGTACAATTGCTGGCGGACAACGGGTTTTGCAATCTCTCTTGTCTCAGAGCACCAATGCAAATAGAATTGGTGCAAATGGACCCTCAGTGCAGCTGCCTTCTGTGCTTGGGCAGATTATGGAGAGTTTGCCATTGCAGAGGCAAGGTTCTAGTGGACAAGTTGATGCAGCGGGTGCGATGTCTCAGGTTCTCAACAGCCCTGCTTTGAATGGTCTATTGGCTGGGGTTTCAGAGCAAGCAGGAATTGGTTCACCTGCTGTCTTGAGGAATATGTTAGCGCAGTTCACACAGAGCCCAACAATGAGAAATACACTCAACCAAATTGCCCAACAAGTTGAAAGCCAAGATATTGGCAACATGTTTTCAGGATTGGGAAGTGGCCAAGGTGGTGGTGTGGATTTATCTACAATGATTCAACAGATGATGCCAATTGTATCTCAAGCGCTTACAAGGGGATCAACTCAACATGATACATTCTGCTCATCAGAGCCTGAAAGTCAGCAGCAGCATAGTCAGAGTAGGCCAGGCAGAGAAGACAAACCAGATTATCAGACTTCTCAGGTTTGTCTATAATGGATTTTCTTCTTTCTGTTTAACTAGGACATGGCTGTCATGTGAACTTTTGCAAGAACCCCTTTTGTCATGGTCCTTGAGTCCTGGATTTGTTTAACTGTTTCCTATTATTTTTATTAACTTGCAAATCGATTCATTTCCTTGTCTAGAATCTTCTGCAACCAAAATTATTTGAGAAACAGGTCAATTGCACAAATCTTGATTCTTGATTTGAATCCCAAGATTCACTTGCTTTGTTCCATTCCAATCCATGAGATGGACCAACCATTCCCCAATGTTCTCCATAAATTTTAGTAGTATTGGATGGCTTTCTTTCCAACTATATAATTTAAAAAACCCATTGAGGGAAAAAAGCGACCTAGGATTCGTTGTACATGTTTTTTTCTCTTTCTCTAATTCTGAGGATTTTAGCAGAAAGGAACATATAATAATGAGGATCAATAAAATAATTTTTTTTTGTCCCTTTTTTGCGCTACCTCTACCACTGTGTAATCGTTTGACAATGTGTTTTTGCATATTAAATGCTTGCCTGTTAGAACCAATTTATCTAAAAATGCTCAATTTGGAAGTGCTTTTGACTTTGTTTTTTTCTTCAGGTTGGCATTCAGCAAACGGTCAATAGGATTGAACACCATGATCCTCCTAGTGGCATTTTCCGATCTATGGTTGAAAATGCCACTCTATTGTACAGTGATGGAAACGGCTCTGAAGATCTTGAAGAATTATATAGTGATGACTCTCTTGCAAATGTACGTACTTATGACATTCAAATAGTTTTCTGAAAGTATTTGGTACTTCATAGCTCTTTTTGGGTTGCAGAGGAGTTTTGTTTACAATATCTTCAATTTCTGTATCTTTTCTTTACTTGGATACAAAATTTCTTCCGCCTTTGCAGGAATACATCCAAATGCTACGTCGTGATATATGTTCGCGTCTCCAGGGTGATTCTGGGCCCACAGACAAGTCTTAACTTCTACCCTGCTGCAAGTGACATGGGTTGGTATCCGCTGTTTTGTATGAATTGGGTTATGGCCATTTTATGCGGCAACTCTACAATTCCAATGCACATTTGTCCTTGTATCCAAATGTTATGTAAAAATCAGGTTAGGTTTTGAAGTGAATTTATATCCAGTTTAAAACTATTTGTGGGTTCAATGTATCCTTCCGATTGAGCGTATCAATTTTCAATGACTGAATACTACAAACTTCTCTGCAAGTTTTGCAATGCAAAATTCATTGTATTCATACTTGAAAAAACTTTTGAAACATTTAGCTCAGAATTTGTGGATAATGCTTTTGCATATTTTAATGTGAGTTGGGTCATTTGTTTATTTTAATGTGACCAAGGCGTTCTATGATGCAACTGATGCAATCATTGCAGAGTATTGAAAAACGATTTTCCGTTTCTACATTGAGCATAGTGGGAAGCCATTTCTTTGAGCCATGGAGAAGCTTGTGTCTATAAACTGGCGTCAGATACAAGCAAAGGAGAAGCTTGTGTCTATAAACTCTATATAAATAGAAAGTTAGACAACTTGGTGACACATTACTACACACTATACTTACATACTTAAATCCAAATTGTCATAATAATCTGATTATCTTCTAAAATGATTCGAGGAGGACTAATAAGCAAGTGTACAACTTTTAGAAGCTTGTGTCATTTTTTAAACTGATTTGCAAATTCCTGATTGCATCATAGGGGGTGATCGAATATGACTTTTAAGGAGAGTGATTAAATGGCATGATCCAACTCATTTTGCATCTCTATCATTTATTTTAGGGGTGAGCATGGGTCGGTTCAATTCAGTTTAATTTAATTTAAGGTAGAACCCGCCAACCTGGAACTTACCTTGTTAAGATCAATCAGTTCCAGGGTCTACCCATGGAACTTATTTTTATTTACTCTTGCCTCTAAAAAAATGGAACCTATTTTTTAAAATCATTATTTTTAGTAATAATAATACATAGCTTAAAACTTATATTAACTTTATTGGTTCTTCATGGGGATACAGAACTGGGAAAAGCTCATCCCCCATCATCCCCTTAACCCCCAACCCTGGTGGTAGTGGGATTTTATCCTAGGTCTCTGCTATAATAAATTAGAGGTCCTACCAACTGAGCCAATATCAGTTGGTGTATGTATTGCCTTTTACATTCATATTATACACCTTCAAACATTAAATTATAGAAGAAATGATCAGATGACTTAAGTGGCCCAATGGTCAATTGAGACCATGGTATTTTTAACAATGAGTGCTTGGGTTCAAATTTTTATATCCTCAAAGTATTTTGGAATTTATTTCAAGGAAAGTTCAGTTCTAAGGCTGGTTCTGCCAAGTAGGTTCCGGGTAGGGTAAACCCTGGTAACAGATGAGAAGGGCCAGTTCAAGGTCAGTTCCATTTGATTCCAGGAAAGAACCTACCCATTTGTTCACCCTAATCTATTCACATATCTGTCTTGTTGTTTCACAACCACACTTGGCATTTCACATCTTCTACAGCAATTTGGTGTGCTACAAAATGATAAGTTCCTTTCTTCTCCTCTTCATATTTACAACACAACAACCATATAGAGCAATCCAAAGGAGGGAAAGGCTTGGCGGTTTAGGAAAAATAACCTGGGCTGTTTGAGGGTTTCTTTATGACACAGTTTCCCCACTCAAGTTCCTTTTTTGTCTGAATATTGATTTCCATTACTTTGCCATTGAGAAGGTTCCAAAGAAATTTTGTTGAAATAAGAGTCATAGCTGCTATAAAAAAATATGTGGGAAGTTGATAATTCTTTGGAGCATTCAAAGAGTAAAAACTTTGTTGAGGATGTGGAGTGATAGAGAAGTTATGCTAACCTAATTCATCAAAGGTTCAAGTTTTTGTTGTATCATGAGTAAAACATAGAATACATTGAGGATCAAAGGATTAGTTATGAAGATTTTCGTGCCATGTAAAAAAGCAAATTAGATCACCAATTGTTCACTCGTTCCAGTATGAAATTGTTCTTCTTGGCAAGCAATTACTTTTATATATATATATATAAAATATATGATGATGCAACAATTACAGATTAGAAATCGAACAAGCATTGACTTTACAAAATACGCAAAACAATGGAAGTTGATAGAGCTAAGTTGACATCATGTATGCATTTTTTAAAAGATCAATAACCCTCAAAACAAGTTTATCAAAGAGTCAATTTGGATGAAGTTTGGGAGATCAACAATGAAGTAAAGAGAAAAGACGTGATAGATTTCTTAGAAATACTATGGTAGGTTTTGGAGAAGAAAGAGGGGCAACAACCAATGTTAATACACATGAGAGGGAGATTATAATTTATGAGTCTTTATCAAGGCTTTACCCCAAGACCTTATTTATGTGCATTAATCATAGATGAATTGACTAAATATATTTAAGAGGAAGCCCATGATGCTTATTATTTATTAATGATATTGTATAAAATTGTTGAAATAAACAAATGATTAAATGTAAAATTAAATTTATGAAATATATATATATATATATATATATATATATAATGAAATAGGTTAAAATAATAAAAAAATTATTTAAATACTTTGTAAATATGTGACATTAGAGAAAACAGAATGATGAATCAAAATTCACGCAGACGATCACGTATAATTGAATAAGGCTTAGGTGATGATAACAGTAATGATGATCAAAACCCTAAGCCGCATTTTTTTATATCATCTCACAAGTTTTTTTTTTTTTTGTCTGTCCAGAACTGAGAACCCCAACAATTAATCTTTTTAATTGAAGTCTTGAACAGCTTTTCCGTAGATCACCTTAATAAAGTAAAAAAAAAAAAAAGTGTAGAAAGCAAGGGTCGGACTTGGGAGGAATCAAGACCACCAAGCGGGCTGCTAGTCGTTGCGCTCTATATCTTTCTCTCTCTGAAAGGCATTTCACATTTGTGGTGTTGGACTAAAGACATAGCTCAATATCCACGTGTCGCATATCCACGAGAGATTTGATTTGATGAGCTCATAATTTACGTATAAATTGAGAAAAAGAAAAATTAAATTAGGAGGGTTAATTAATCGTCCGACCGAAAGCAACGGTCCTCCACCGAAAACGAAATCCTGCGAGAAACAAAACTAGCCACCAACCAATTTGTGAGTCCCTTTCCTTCCCAATCAAATGACAGCAACACAAACAAAACACAGAAACACGTACAGAAACGATGAGAATAGAGGAGAAGAGAGGAAGGTAGGGATTCCACTCCACTCTTCTCTCTCTTTCTCTTCTCCCCGTTGTATGCCCTGGAGAATCTTGACATCGTTGTTGTCATCGTCGTGGTCGTCGTCGTATTTTCTCCTCCTCGTCCTCATCAATAATTTCATATTCTTCTTCTTCTTCTTCTTCTTCTCCTTCTTCAAAAGATGGATCTTTATCTACCACCTCCAAAAGTATGCACTCCGGAATCCGGTGGCAGTGTTCCGATCTTGATTGTGGAGCTTTCCTGCATTCTCGTTCTCTCTCACTTCTTCAATTTCATACTCAAACCCCTCGGTCAACCAGCAGCCATCTCCCAAATACTTGTAAGCATGGCATTTGTTTTAGCTTTAAAACTAAACATGCATGATTTGTTTTTAACTTTTAACAACCATGATGACGATGAAGGGTGGCGATGCATCATGCTATGTCTGTCTGTGTCTCTCTTTTGAAGAAGGCAAAAGGCCACAAGGCAGGCCGCAATTCATTCATTCATTCATTTAACTGCTCAAAAGTCAGAAGTGATATTATATCTATGTAGTTTTGTTTTTGTTTTTGTTTTTGTTTGGATGAAATGATAACGATTAATGGATTGGTGTAACAAACAAACACAGGCGGGACTGGTGCTAGGTCCTTCGGGATTGTCCCGGATCAAATTCATAAGAGAGTACGTGTTTCAGGATCAAGCAGGGCAATTATATGTAACCGTGGCAACCTTCAGCCGCATACTGTTTATGTTCCTGATCGGGCTGGAGATGGACCTTCCCTACCTAGTGCGTACCCTTCGAGTGGCAACGCTAGTTGCATATGGTGGTGCCGCAACGTGTTGCTTCTCGGGAGCCATCGTGTCGCCGTTTCTATACAATCAGACTCACGCCCACGGGAGTGGATTCAAATTTGCCATCATTCTGATGATGCTGTTGGCCAACACCGCCTCCCCTGTAGTTGTGAGGGTGGTAGCGGAACTGAAGCTTGCAACGTCGGAAGTGGGAAGGCTTGCCATTTCGGCATCCATAATAAACGACATTACTTGCTTGCTAGGGATTGCTTTCATTAGCGCTTTCACTAACTATTCCAAGCCCCTGGCGCACCCTAAAGGCCATACCAGCACCAGCAGCAATAATGACGAACCCGTTGAAACAGATGGTGAAGGATTCGGTGAAAGGTTTTTTGCTGGCATCGTCTGCCTTATTATCCTTGGTGGGACCACCGCTTTAAACCGGATTCTGTCAAGGTGGTTGAGCCGGAGAAATCATCACCGGAAGTACATAACCAACTTGGAAGTGGCATTCCTTCTGATGCTCACCTTCGCCGTCTCCATCTTGATAGAATTGTTTGGCTATAACAGCATGATCGCTTCTTTCTTACTCGGCCTATTTTTCCCTAGGGATGGCAAAACCACCAGGACTTTGTTGCAGAAACTTACTTACCCTGTGCATCACTTCATTCTCCCATTTTATTTTGGATACACAGGGTTTCAAGCCGACCTTTCACACATCGTCGACCTCCGCAGTGTCCTCCTCATCATCACCATTGTTTGCTTGAGCGTAGGCGGCAAGGTCAGTGGCACCCTTTTCACCTGCCGATACTTAAAAATTCCACCCAACGAAGGCCTCGTCCTCGCCTTCTTGCTCAACGTCAAAGGCCATGTTGATCTTTTAATCATAAGTTTGGCCTCCCAAAACCACGTAAGTCTTTATTTATTTTTTTTAATTCTGATCACTCCTCCTAATTCACATTCTATTTTTTTTATTAGAAAAAACCCACTCCAAATCCTTTGACATTAATTGATCCAGAGAATATATTAATTAATTAATTAATGCTTATATGAATATTCATCATCATCATCATCTCTCTCTCTCTTTCTCTCTGTGGCAGAGATGGCCCCCAGGAATTTTTAATGTATTCTTAATAACGGTGGTGTTCAACACCATCATCGTAGGCCCAATTGTGAGTTACATTGTGAGAAGAGAAAGAAAAGCCATGGCCTTCAGGCACATAGGACTTGAGTGGCAAAGCCCAGAGAGCGAGCTACGTGAGTTAGCATGCGTGCACGGGCCACGCCATGTACCAACCATATTAGGGCTGATTGAATTACAGAATTCATCCCCAAAATCACCGGTTTCCCTCTACCTAATGCACCTTGTGGAGATCACGGGGAAGGAAAGGTCCAATTTGTTGTATCACCAAAAAGAAGACGATGATTTTAGTGACGACGAGTACTTCGGTGGAAACGATGGGATAGAGATCAATAACATCGTTGATGCATTCATGGCTCAGTCTCACGTTCAGGTGCACCAGATCACAACGGCCTCCAAATTATCATCCATGCACGAGGATGTATGCAATGGCGCCGAGGATGTAGGTTCGGCCATCATATTACTCCCTTTCCACAAGTACCTACGCATCGATGGCAAGATGGAGAGTGCAAAGGAAGAGATCAGGACCATTAACCAGAAGGTACTTCGTCACGCACCCTGCTCAGTTGCCATCCTCGTCGACAGGGGTCTTGGTGGGTCGACCACCACCACACAATTAGACCACAATTCATATGGGACCAGGCAGCAGCAGCAGCAACAACAACAACAGCAGCAGCTAATTGCTACCTTGTTCTTTGGTGGGGCTGATGATCGGGAGGCCTTGGCCTACAGTAGCCGATTTGCCATGCATCCTGATGTGAGCTTGACGGTCGTTAGGTTCTTGCCGCCATCGGGCAATAATGAGTATAATCAAAGTCAAGGGATTGAGATGGCAGTGAGCAAGGATGAAGATGAAGTTCTGATGAAGATCGAAACTTCTCCCTCTGAAAACGACACAGACCAAGCTTTTTTATCTTCGTTCCACGACAGGTACATGGTACAGTTTGATTGATTTCCATTCCATTCTCATATTTGACATGCAACCGCTACAGATATTAGATAGAGCCATATAGCTAGCTATATATACGGTTGAGACTTGAGAACTCTGATCTACTAGCAGTCTCTATGTATGTAAAGTGTAATATTTCATGGTTGTTGTTGTTGTTAGGTACGTGGGAACAGGGGCAGTAGGCTATGTGGAGAAGTACGTGGAAAACGGGGCAGAAACAGTGAAAGCACTAGGAGACATGAAGGACATGTTCTCATTGTTCATAGTAGGGAAGGGTGGAACAGGACATTCCCCTCTTACCACGGGAATGAGCGACTGGGAAGAGTGCCCTGAGCTAGGGGCCGTTGGGGATCTCTTGGCCTCCCCAGATTTTGGCATTAGCGGCTCAGTTATCGTCATCCAACAGCATAGACGGCCTAAGATGGACCCTAACGACGGCTAGCACTCCTCAATTCCATGGTGATACAACATTACCAGCCTCCCTTTTTCTTTCTTCCTTTTGTTTTCTATGTTCGCTGGGTTAGGGGCTTAGGGCCTAGGGGAGGTATGTATAGTATTGTCTTGTCGAATCACTTCATCAACGGTTTCGTTGCCCTTTAGTCGGAAGGTTTCTTTCTTTCTTGTAATTAAGAAGCCAAAGAAGTTAGGTAGTTCCGTAAGTGCATGGATGGTTAAATTAAGAAACTATCATCATCCCCAGAAGTTAGGTAGTTTTTTCTTTTTTCTTTTTAGATTGTAATTGAAAATGTAAATAAAATTAAAATGCCTTACAATTGAATTTCTCCAATAACATCTTGAGAAGGATATATAGCTCAGTTTTTACTATTTAGTGATATCTTCTATTCCAGTATTCTTACAATCCACAAAAATTCTTAGAAGGACAATAACCAGTATGCCATTGAAAAGATCTGGTTGTTTAATTAAAAAAAAAAAAACTCAGGGTCTGGATGTCGGTGCTTTGAGAGGAGCATGCAATCAGCAATTCAGCATTGATTAATGTTCAAAATGGCTTGGTACGAGACCCTTCGGTTCTGTTGGTAATTAATTTGGTATGAATTGTTTTGCTTTCACCAGCTGGTGTAACCTCTTATATATATATATATATATGCATGTAATATGTACTATATATGTAGGCAATAAGTATAGCTAGCAATGAAGTGGCAAATGTTATCAACTGATTGTGGACTATTGTTCCAAAGATCGATTCGGCAATGGACCAAATTGCTGTATCCCAACCCAACTGATGATGAGTTTCGGATTGTCATGGCTCCCCCATGAAGAGTGGACACCTTTCATTTCCTATAGGAAAAACATCAGTTAATCATGATGCCAGCAGTTTAAAGTTTTAACTTTTAAACAAGGTTGCATTCGTAGCCCATCCAATTCCAATTCCTAGCTAGCAGCCCATCATGCATCGAGGAGACGGATCAAATCTAGGCTGGGTGCGAGTTCATGCATGCATTTCTTCGTCAAATGCAAATTGGCATTAAGTCGATGTACCAAGGCCTAACAGCTGTTTCGCATGTGGACATGTTTTATATTGCCAAAGGGGATGATGGATTGGATAGTAAAAGATCCCACAATCCTACACCGCCACTAGTCCACCCAACACGGACCTGCTTCTTATAAAGTTTTAAGAATGAGTGAATGACATTCCTGATCCTGAGTTTAATTCCGGATCACTCTAGGAATCTGCAAATTGCAATACCTACTTACCTACATAATAAATCGTCATCATATGCCTTATCCAAATTACATGGGGTCAGCATGAAATGAATCCTGCTTCAGGAATTCATTGTATATTAAGTCAGTCATATCCAATTAATGTGAAACTATTAGTGTTTAAATCATTTCTTATTAACTTCTATCCATATCCTTTTTTGATTTATTCCTAGCTCTTCTAGCTAATTCAATATGTAACAAATATTTTTTTCTAACTCGAACATTTGGTGGGCTTCTACTCCAGGAGTAAAGGAAGTTTGCCTCTTCTTTTGTCCTTTGTGTTATGAACAACAATGGGTGAATGATCAATATAATATAATCCCTGCAATAGGCAAAGTGACGAACCCATGCTCAGTTAAAAGAAAGAGATCCATTAATTCAACAAACCCAGTGGTCCGTCAATTTGTTCACAGATATCAATTCAGCCAACGGGCGACCATTAGTCCAAGTAAATCTCGGGCCCTTAAAACCCAAGTCAACCAAGTTACAACCTGATGCAAAATTAGCAAACTTTGAACTCTTTGAGTACTGTTGCACTTTACGACCACCATACTTCTTCATGATGTTGAGCTTCGGTTCAGCAATAATTCTATCACCAACCGTCTCTGCACTTGACAATAATGTAGACTTGATGATTTCTTGTTTAAGTGATCTTGATTCTTTACAAAAGCAGTGTTATCAATAATCAACTGATTGTATTAAGAAAGAAAACAGAAACAAAGACACACAAGGAAAGCTAAAAAGCCAGCTACCAAAACAAACAAAGAAAAAAACTGGAAAAAACAAAAAACAAAAGAAAAAAAAAAAAAAAAAACATTAGACTGTGAGCAGGTCATCCTTAATAAAGTCTGGAAGCCACCGTGGGCAAGCATCCTTCCAAAACATAGAGCTAGGTAGTCCTTTTTGAGCAGCAGAATGGGCTGCCTTGTTACCAGATCTTCTTATCCAAGAGAACCTAACATTCAAGTCTCTTTAAACAGACTAACACAATCCTGAATTAAAAACCATACTTCTGAGTCACAATTAACCCCATCCTTAGCCAGACACTCAAGAATCTGTTTGCAGTCTCCTTCAATTATTACATGCGATAGACCTAACTCCTTGGCCATGATTAAACCTTCTACAACTGCGGAGGCTTCTGCTGAGAGGGCTGAACAAACACCTGCAGGGCCAAATTTTGCAGCCAAAAGACAACCAGAACTGTCTCTAACAATAACACTTGTTGCAGAAAGAGATGACCTGGGCACAAACGCTCCATCCACATTTATCTTTGACCACCCAAAAGGCGGTGGCTCCCAACTGGAGCCGAGCCCTGCTTCAGCATTAGAATGAGGCAGTATTGGTGATGATGAAACTGCTTTTACCTGAATCTCCTTGACTAACCTCAACGCCCTGTCAATTGCCAATAAAGGATTTTGATTAGAGTCATTAAAAGTAAAATCATTTCTAATCAGCCAGATGTTCCATAATAAAGCTGTTGTAAGGTGGAGTATCTCCATTTTCCTTTCTTTCTGGTCATTGCATACTTTGGTGCAGTCTTTGAACCAAGTTTTGAAACTCGTATTATCAGCCAACTGTGAAAAGTCAAGGCCTAAAGGATAGCCAAACTAACATCTCCTTGCAAAATTACATTTACCGGGAGCATGTAGGACTGATTCATTCTCTTTTAAGCACAGAGGACAGAGGGGAGAAGTTGAGATTATATTTTTAAACAGATTTAACTCGACTACCAGAGCATCCACAAAAAAGTCTTGATTTTTAGGGGGAGGGACAAGGACCAAATAGTTTTCCATAGAGCTCTATCGTTCTCTGCAACTGGATGAGAAGCAACCTCTTGGTTCTTTGCATCAAAGTAGGTTGATGTAACGTTGAAAGAGCCTTTCCTATCTAAGGTCCAGATCAATTTATCCTCCCATTCAAAAAGAGGAACTCTGATTTTGAGGATTTGTTTTGCCACAACTGGTATGAATAAGGATCTAACTAGCTCACTATTCCAGCTTCTTGTGTTAGGATGCAAAAGGTCTGCAACCTTTTCCACTCCGTGTCTAAGAGGTCTAGGTCCCTGAATTCTTTGACCTGGTATACCCGGTACCCAGGGGTCAGTCCAAATGGCAATATCTCGCCCCGATCCCACTAGCCAATAGATCCCTTTCATTAAAACTTCTTTCCCTACTAAAATACTTCTCCACCCCCAAGACCCTTGACTTGGCATCACGTCATTTATAAAAGACTTCCCCCCTTACATATTTTGCTCTCATAACATTTGCCCACAAACTATCCTCCCTGTGCGCTAGTCTCCAAGCAAGCTTTGCTAGGAGGGCTTTTTTGAAACTAGATGGATCCCTGAAACCAAGACCCCCATCTTGCTTATTTCTACTTAATTGCCCCCATCTAATCCAGCTAACACCCTTTACAATGTTTTCTTTTCTCCACCAGAAACTTCTCTACAGCTTTTTAATGGTTTCACAGGTGCTATTTTGAATCTGGAAACACGACATGCAATAAGCAGGAATAGCATTTAAAACAGATTTGATTAATACCTCTTTTCCAGCCTGATTTAAAGATTTACCTCTCCAGCTGGAAGTTTTTCTATCAAAGTGTTGTGTAGATATGAACCCAAAGTGTTGGAGGCTTTAACTTCCAATCTAACAAAATTTCAAAACATCTAAATAAAATAATACAGGACTATGCCCTCCTCGAAATTGAGTCCAAAGGGGTTAGATATACTTGGTCCAATGGCAAGAAAGGGAATTTGTGTGTTAAAGAGAAATTAAATAGGGATTAGCAACACCTTTGTGGCATGAGAATTTCCTAGAAGCAAAAATCCGAGCCTACAGAAATATTTTCTCAGATCATGCAACACTTCTAGTAGACACTCACACAATATCAGGTCCAAAACAATTTCATTTTCTACCCATGTGGACCGAAGAGAAGTGTAAAAAACATTATTGAAGAATAACGGAACCAGGAGCATAAGCAAGGAGATGTGTGCCAAAAATTGAGGAATTGCAAAGAGGAACTCAAAAAGTGGAATAGGGAAAAATTTGGACATATTGAAAAAAGAACTGAAAGAAGTGGGGGAAGAAATATTGAAGATGGAGACAACCAGGGAATCCAGTGGTAGTAAAAAAAGAATGGATCTGATGAGAGAATATGAAACCTGGTTGAGAAGGGAAGAACAACTGTGGAGGTTAAAATTTAGGGAACTCTGGCTAAGGGAAGGGGACGGAAATACAAGGTATGTCCACCAACTAGCAAAATTTAAAAGAAAAAGAAATTCACTTGAATTTTTGAAAAATGATGAGGGTAATGTCCAAACATCGGAAGAAATAGCCCTAGCTTTCAAGCAACATGCAATCTTTACAAGTGGTCCCCAACTAGAAGAAGAATTTGAAATCCGAAACCTGATACCAAACAAGATTTTAGAAACTGAGGCTACAGAATTAGTCAAACTACCATCAGATGTGGAAATCAAAGGAGTAGTCAAGTCCATGAGAGCTCACTTTGCACCAGGACCAGATAGCTTCACACCCTTCTTCTACCAGAAATATTGGGGAACAATAAAGCAAACACTTGCAAACTTGTTAGAGAATTCTTTGATTCATGCCGAATACCCCAAAACCTAAATTCCACTAACCTTGTATATATCCTAAAAGTCAAAAACATATACAAATTTCAACAATACAGACCCATTAGTGTCTGCAATGTGTTGTATAAAAT